ATGTAGCCATCTAGATACTGCGACTGTTGGCCATTACTGAGCTGCAAGGATTTTATGGGGCTGCTTTCTCTGTTGAAATCTGAGAACTCATTAGTACAAAACCGAAAGCCCGGAACGAAAGGGAGTTTCTCATACGATCCATATAAAGATGTATTTTCAATTTTGACTATTTGCATTTGAAACTCTAGCTTCTCCTCCTTGTCCAATGTCTGAACAACGTATTAAGAATAACCAACTTACTGTTAATATAACAGGCTTTGCCTCAACATAATTGAATCCGCATGCAAAACAAACAACTCCAAGTGAATAGTCAACTTTAGATATTTTGGTTCGATGACTATGTACAAAAGAACGCACACGAGGCTCCGGGGAAACAATGGATAATCTTGATTTATTCTTTTATTTCCCCGGAGCCTCGTCTGCAATTCTTTTGTGCATGGTCACTGAACCAAAATATCTAAAGTTGACTATTGCAGATTATTCTTTAAAAAATGATTGCAATGAAATACGTTCAGAAATCAAATTTTAATTGGATCATCGACTCTGTTATTACATAGTTTAAACCCTAAATTATTTCTTTGACAGCTTTTCCATAGAATGAATTCCCCAAACACAAGGTTTCTATAAAAGAAGTTTCTATTGGATAGATGCACCATCATTCTGTTCCCTAGTTTTATCATGCATTTTACGCATTGTCAGGTCTATTGCTATCGYAGTAAATGAGGAAGTTTTCAATTAAGAGTCCTGTCATGTGACAAGGTATAGCGAAGACGGACCCTTACTGCGAGACTTACATGCGTTTTACAAAATCCAATGAATATTATATTTAGCGAACAAATGTCACGATGCCATAGTTTTCACTTTTGGCACTGGAGTCCATTTTACGTTTTACCGCAAAAAATAATTTGATTTGAAAACTTAAGTTTCCATAAGAAATCTCTTTCARATGAATAACCTATGTTATTCTAGCGTTTTGTGTTAATAGAAATCGTCTACAGTAACGATGCCAGTGATTTGCTTCAACTTAGATCATTTCCGAGAAGTCCGATTATATTCCARGGACATTTTGGGAYCAACAGTTTGGAACTGTCAATCGGTGACATTAAAATCGCCCCTCGACAAAATCAAACKGATGTCCATAGTGAAATATCTAGAGTGAAGCTGTTAGCAGCCTTACATAATTCAATACGACTACTAGTGATAYATCTATACAATCAGACGTTGTAATTTTGATGTCCTGTAGTCAGCTCTGAGCTGGATGAATTGCTGAAGAACTGACTTGTCAAGGGWTGCCTAGAAAAGCATTGAAAATGTATCAATATTGAAATGTTACATCAATGGACCTTCCATAAATAACATTAGTGACCATGAGCAAAGCTTTGCACCAAGGAACAGTTGTGAACAGTTTTATACCGTAGAAAGTACTGGGAATAACTTACTATCCGTCGTCAACTTACTATCCGTCGTCAGAGTAAACTGACTTTTCCCATACTTTTTGCGGTGTAAAATTTCATGTTATTTTTTCAACTGTTTCTTTGGGACTACCAGCGCAGATAACACTAGTTTACCGCTAGTTCCCATCATTTGAAAAAAGGARTTAAGGAAATAGGGATCTTTTCTATTATCCTCGCAACTCGACGCTTCGGTTCAATAATTTGTTCGTTGTCACTGGACCTGTGTATGGAAGTATATCATTTGCCATGTACCCATGAAACTTTACTGAGAACAGAGGGTACATGGCAAATGATATTCCTAGCTGAGCTAGGAACTTTGGGATATGATACAGTTTGGGACCGCCTGTTTGACTTGCTGTTGGTTTTCAATATATACCGATCATGCTAAAATCAACACGGATCCAAAACAACTCTCTTACGGTACTTAAAATTCAAATAACGGAAGAAGCTGATGAAAGTAAATAGGCTCTTTCAGAGTAGGGTAAAAGATATGAATATGAGGACCGCATGGCACTATGTGCCTCCTTCTAAGCACTATGAATTTCTTTCATTTCTATGTCATGTCTATATCATAGTGCCATGCGGTCCTCATATTCATATCTTTACATTATTCTATTACTGCACATAACATCTATTTCACCCCGACATGCTCCCAGTCTGGCCTTGTAGCTCAGCTGGTAGATCATCGGTAGTACAAATCCGAAGGCCGTGGGTTGGAATCCCAGCGATTACAGGAACGAAAACAAAAGATTCTGGAACGCGTTTAAAAGAACATTGGATTTTCCGCGCTTTTCGTCCATGTCTATCTTTTGAAACTATAAGTTTGTTGGAAATCATATCAGCCAATTAATTATGTATCCTTCTAACARTATCTCTTACCAACTGATCTCCACCACAGACTTGCTTCAGATTCTCGGGAACAACCAGAAGAAGATTGACAAGTTGATGAAGTGTCTCAAAGAGAGAAATCAATAAAGGAACCTACAATAGAAATCAAAGCCATTTCGAGAAAGTACTATTGATACATCTACAAAGATTAGTTAACACTTTTTATTGTTTATAAAGTGTCAGTCTAATGTTACTAGTATACAATCCTTTAACTTTCTCCTTTTCACATCCACTTTTACATAAACTTCGTTCTCAATYAATCACTTTGAGGCTTTGGTGAAATACTTTAGTGGTAATTCTAAGTTAATCAGTGTTTCCGTGGCAACAATAAAAAAGCCCGCAAAGAAGCATTTCGTTCGAAGTAGGACTGTAAGGTTATGGGAAACTCTTTTTACAGATGAAAGGAAATTCAGCTGAGTTTAGAAGCACATTACAATTACTTGATAAGCTCCTAAAGCGTTCTATAAGTGTAACTAATTTTCATGGAATTAGCATTGAACGTTTTCTMAACCATCTCTTAAAATTAAAATTCTAAGCAAGAATCTTGCTGTAGCTCCTCAGTCGAAAAACGCTTTTGTTTGAACGACATTTTCATATTTTCTGAAATATATACTAGCAATTTTATGTCCAAATGAAGCGAGGCAACATTGCCGTCAATAATGTTTAGCCACCATAAATGTGGATGTGATCCGTACGCATGCGCATGCGTTCTTCTCGACACTTTTCCCCGAAATAATTAGTAAAACGGAGTAGTCTAACAAGCCTTATCCAGTCTGCGTGTATAAATGCATAGACGCTGCGCTCTKTAGTGTACCCGACTAAACTGTAGAGTTTTCTATCTTGACCGCGCGCTGGGTTTATAAGACCTAAACACCACATTTGAATATTTTTAAATACGTCATTTTTTTCTGTAAAACGCCTTTTATTCRTGTGAGCCTTACCTCGAATTCCTTCATGCATTTCCTGTACTCATTGATATCACAAATGGCACGCATTCCACCTAGAAGAACAGATTTGTACAAAAATATTACCAGACCTTACCAGAATTTCAGAATAAAGTACAATTTATGCAATCATTGTTGCCGGAACAATACCAGGTGACATTTTGCACCTCTTGGCTTCCTTTGATCCCATGACTCCTCATAGCTCCCCGATATGATCCCAACGTACTGCGCCCCAAGGCACCCCATGGTTCCTCATAGCTCCTCGATACGATCCCAACGTAGTACGCCCCAAGGCACCCCATGGTTCCTCATAGCTCACCGATACGATCCCAATGTACTGCGCCCCATGGCACCCCATGGCACCCTATCGTTCCTCGTGGCTCCAGAAGCTATTCAAAACTGCCACGGCCTTATTCTATTCCGCGTACAATTTGATGCATACACTACAACTGTTGCAATGCACTTGAATGGACGCACTTAATCCGTGAAACTTTACAAAAAAGTTCTAAATTATACTTCTTCCTTTGTTTTCTATTTTTTAATCAACACTAGTAGCGATATTTTTTCGCGGATTGAATAAGTCTACTTTATGGGATCAATTCTTACGCTTGTACAAAAGTATATAACGAGTAATGTGCATTCTAACCATCCCATTGAAGCCAAATCCAAAGAAGCATGCACTCCAAGAAGCATCACACTTCACATCACACAATAATCCTGGTCTATGAGATTTYTGCACAAATTTGTAGAATAGTTTATTTACCGTCATAGCTGTAGGTAAATTGCTGCAAATGCTCAAAAAGAAGTCGATGGATCCTGGTTCCAAACTCGGTGAGGACTGCCTCCAARTTCTTGTGATCAAGAGCATTACGTATTCTCTCTCGTTGWGAACGAATAAAYTGACAGCTTTTTACACATGCCTACATATWACAAGCAAGTATGTAAAYATACTGTTTCAACAAATGTCAGTTGCGTCTYTAACAAGAAAGTACCCAATCAGCGCGAAGTGAATCAGCACGACGTGTTAGGTAACGCTCACTCATGAGAGATCTTTTCAACTCTCGAAGATAAAATCGTATCTCCGCGCGTCCATGTAACATCTTCTATATCAGTGATAAGTCAAAAWTATATTCTATCATATTTTAAATATCTTACCCCAGTGCAGCTAAAGTAATCAGTGTTTGCTAAAGTCTCTTCAGGTTTAAAATCAGTCTTTCGTTGTTCGGAATTGAGAATGTACCTAGCATATCCCACGAGAGAAGACAATACCCTATGATAATAAAGGGATATCAGTATCTTCCCAGTTACAATTTTACATACACACACTGGTTCATCAAGCTGAAATGATAACGTATAAAACCTTCATCTTATTTCTATAACCGATGCAAAAAATCAAGTACATAAGTTTATGAGTGTTGTCAATGCAAATAGCCCCTAAAGAACACGCCCGTGAGCAATGATCTGTAGGGTAGAGAGCCGCGAACAAAAGGGACCTTAGCAGCGTACAGTAGGTGCCTTTTACAATGACATCGCTCATATGTTAAGGCTTATAATTACTATGGAATGAAGCTCACTATCAAAGCGTTTATAGTTTTGAACAAATTCAAGGTATTGATGTAGCAAAAAAATAAATAAATAAATAAAACATCAATAAATAAATAAATGAATGAAATAATACAAACAAGCAAAAGAAAGCAAGCACCTCCGTTACACATACCTATCAAGTCCGGTGTCTAGTTTAGATTCCATACATTCCATGACTTCTTTCTTTCTACGGATGCACTCGGAGTAGACAGGAGACGATCTGCATAAAGAATATCTGCACGTGACTACTATTACACAAAGAAATTCTTGTTAAATAGAACTAGGGTTAGTTAATAATTGCTATCATCAATAGATAAATAGAKGATATTACATGGGCGCACGGAGATACGGATTTTATCTTCGAGCGTTGAAAAGCTCTTGACACGAGAAGATAAAATTCGTATCTCCAAGTGAACATGTAATATCCTATTTATCATATAATTGTATATGAAAGCAAATTGTGTCAAAATACCTTTTTTCTTACTTCCACTATATAGAGAAACCCCGAATGTGTTATTTATGAAATGGAGAAATATAGGTATTTCATAGATAATTATATGATAATAATCAATAACTAATATGTGCTGATAAATAATATGTTCTGAATTAATAATGAATGATAAGACTGAGCTCAATTTTATTGTCATTTCTGTTACACGATGAAAAAGATAATTTCACCAGTTTTCGTTTCTTATCCTAAGCGCGTGCATTTTGAGGGCAATTCCAAAATTGWCTTTTTTATTAAGTTACCAAGTGGTATACTTACCCAACTAGATGTATAATAGAGTCAGTGAAATGTTTCTCAAGAAGATGAAAAATACCATTTGCTTGACTCAAAACATCGAAGAAAACTGTCTCTATCTCTCCTCTTGGATCAGGTGGTGGTAAACCTGGTGAAATTTTTGATGTATCATTTTTATATCATTAATTATTATAAGGTATAACAGTGAGCTTTTGTTTCAGATGACTGCTCGGAAATTTCAGAACAACAAATGATGCTTATGAACAGCTGAGTATGATATCCTGGATGGAGAGGCAATAAAGCCAATCCATTTCTATAATACGCCTAATTGAAAAAACTTTGTTGGCTTCAAAAAGGTTACACCACCGAAGCTGAGAATTTTGTATTAGCAATCCACTTTAGTTAAGGTGCACCTTCACGAATTTTTTTAATCTTTAAAATGAAAATTGAGGTTAATGGAAACGTATCAGTAAATCCTTTACCAAAAGTGATAATCGTTTAACTGATGTCACTAATGAATACCTTGCAATGCCATATCCAAGGCATAATCAATGTGATCCACACATAGATGATCTAGGAGTTTTTGATAGATACTATAAGCGTTCGTTGGCAGCTCTGATGAACTAGAAAGCTAAATAAAGACATGTATTATATATCTCTAGCTGGAAGTATATTAAATCAACGATAAAAGAAAGAGAAATAAAAGGAATAGAAGTCGTGGTTTTCAAGCAATAAAATGCACCTCGAGCTTTACAACATTACTGGGAACATATGCATTTATACGAGCTTATAACGAAAGATGCGGAAAAGCCTCTTGAACACTAAAAGAAGATCTCTAAGGACTTACCACTTCRCATCTAGTGAGGGCACTAGTATTTTCTTGTAAAAGGTTCACAGCTACATCCTGTGATAAGTATGTCTCTTTGGGTGATTCTGCGGATGGGTTTGAGAGAAGACCAGGCATCCTTTTTTGGAGCTCTTGACTGAAAAGTCTAATRAAAACAATAATGATGCTTAGTAATTGCATCGTGTTGGTTCATTGTGATGCGCCCATATATAGTCGTAAGGTGTAGAGGAATATCACGACTGCATTTTGACCATCTACTGGTGAACCACATCTAAGCATCTACGCTAAATTACTGAGCACAATAGCAACATCGTGCAACTGATAAAAAAGGTCATTTTTGGCATCAAATATTGAAAATCGGTGACTTTCAGCAGTTAATTTGAAAACTTCAACTGTTTGTCTAAACTTTGAACCAAATTTAAATAGGTTTTTCATATCAAAAACAACCTCATGATGACCCATATTCTCCACTGCAGGCTTTGAATACTAAGGCACTTCTAACCAGTGAAAATTATTTTCTGAACAAGAAGTCCAACGTTTAGACATATTACCATGAAACTTACCCGGTAGTCCCCGTTGGTCTCTCCTTTTTTTGATGATGCATTGAGCTGTAGTATTTGTCAAGGATAAGGTTTGATTTTTCCTTAAGATGATCTATTTCAGTGCTAAGAAAAAGTTGAATGAGTCAATCATTTATCATTTAAAATTTGTTATCTTCATTTGAAAACAACACGCAAGTAGACATCGAGAACTAGAAGMCTAAACTACATGGTTAAGCAAGGACACAACCAGAACAATAATATGAATCTAATTCACCTATAATAAAATTAT